CGATATGATGCATTTTGGTAGAGCATAGAATAATTATCTTGGACCCATCGCATTATATTTCTCATAAACACGTGATTCTTGGTATTTTGTAATAATTCATAGTCAGCCTTGATGATGGATCTGGTGTCTAGTCAGCATCTATCATCGGCGCACATTATGTTTCGGGTCCACTAGGGTGATTCAGGACGGGTCGTGTCAATGTTCCTAGCAAGTCACAAATTGCAAACATTCTAATCAAAGCCTTAAATTCTCAAGGCTTTTACTTTTGTATACTCAAAATGGGATTAATAGACATATACTCTCAATCTTGCGGGGGCTATTCACTACAACAAAAGTAGCTTTTTACAGCATTTATTTACGGCGTGCATCTACGACATGTCGTAAAATAGACTATTTACGGCATGCGATATATGTATGCCGTTAAAAATCAACCACCGTGTGTTGTAAAAAACTGACTTATTACGACATGCATATGTATGCCGTAAATGCTGTATTTTGTTTTCTTTTCCATTGTTTTCTTTCTTTCCTTTTATTTTCCTTCCCTCTCCTTTTATTTGCCTTTTCATTGGCCTAATTTTATTAACCCATATAATTTCATTGTTGAGGCGAACATCCCTTCTGCTGGCTTCGACTTCGACTTCGACCTAAGGTTAGGCAGAGTTGAGACGACCTCAACTTCCAGTTTCGCCGGCCGTCTGCGTTCGGCGTTCCTGTATCTTTATCTCTCTCTCTCTCTGGTCTCTGATATACATATAATGTTCAAACTTCGAAGTCGAACCTGAGGGCTTGGAGACCTCGGTTCTTGGCTTCCTGCTTCCGCCGCCCTTCCACATCCGCCTCCGGCTTTCTTGCATAGTGATTTCTTGCTAAATTTTGAAATTGGATTTTAGGATCTAAACTAAACTTTAGGGCTTCACTGTCTTTCATCCAAAGTTTGATTCTTTATGATGATTGATTTTTATCTTCTAATTGTGAATTTGTGAGATGAGCAAGATTGAACTTGGGGAAAAATATGATGCAGTTTCTGCATTTCTGTCTTCTGACTTTCCTTTGTCCAATTCTAAATTCAGTTTTGGTGTTATGAGACATTGGATGCATAATCTTCACCTCTGTCGAAAGTCCAATTCCAAATTCAGGTTTTGTGTTAAGAGACATTGGGTGCATTTGCTAATTAATTAATGATTGATTTTATCATCTTATTGTGAATTTTTCAAATACAGTAAGTAAGTATCAAAAAAAAAAAAGAGAGAATAGGAATTAATTTCCACAAAGATAACAGGTTTTGACCAATATTGCAAGTTCCACAAGTAGGTATGGTTCTCTTGATCTAGATTATCACTGTATATTTCTGACCGATTGTGTATCTGTGTGCATTTTGATTATCCACACAATGACTGTTGATGCGGGCAATGATTAAAATTTAGCTCTGTTGTTGGATTATATGGATAGAGGACTAGAGGTAACAGAATATGATACCCATATTCTTTAAATGTGCTTAGGCCAAGTTTCTTCTTTTGCCAATACAACTTGCCATGGTAATTCTTTTTAGTTCACTTAGGGAACGTGAACTAAAAGCAATCTTGTTATTTATGACCTATGGAATTTCATTGAGCAGTCATGGCCCTTTTGCCGCAATGACCTAGTGATGTAAACGTGTAGGTATTCCCTGCTTTGAGTTAGAGCATTCATTTTTATCGTGCATGCTTGCCTTGGAAAATTGTAAAATCTTTGTTGCTGCTTTTTTAACTGATATATGATTTAACAGTCATCACTTTATAGTTTTCCCCGGGTACAAAAAATTTCCAATAAACTAACTGACGATTACACATTCATGTGAGCGTGACCAACTTTTTCTTGGAACAAACTGTAGAGACCTGTTGCCCCTCCACAGCAATGCAGATTTCACATCACATTATCA